GTCCTCGTCATCCACGATGGTCTGAGCTAGGGCTGCATTGCGTTAGATGACAGAAATAGTCGGTGGGTACTGCTGGCGCACCTTCCTCAAACCACGGCTCCTTCTCAATCCGCTTGACCTTCCCAATATCCTCGATATCGTCCTCGTCATCCGACACGATCTCCAGCACTGTGCCCTCGGGTTTGCGGGCAAGGATGCAGCGGTAGTGGGTAGCCCGATGGTGGGAGTCGTTGATCTTCTCCGCACTTCGGTGGAAGGGCTTCCAGATGGGCCCAAGCTTGGGCATCGTGGCAGCAGACAGGAAACGTCAGCGGCGAAAATTGCTTTGGCAGCGTGATGACAGCGTGACAGATCCATATCATGACGATCATTAAGGCCTATTAAGGGTCTGCCGAAAATCTCCAGGCCAGCTAACCCTTATCACTATCACCAATTAAGGCCTTAATTGAGCTAACCCTTAGCACCTTATCTACAACACTAGAACCTAGACACTTAACCAGGTGAATAACCTATGGGAACACCTCCGACCTTATAGGTCTGGAAAGAGGGGGGTTCTCTAACTCTGACAAATGTTTGTGGAAGAGTCATAACATAGGCTCATTTAATAACAGAAATAATTACAACAAAAATGGGTATGATTAAATAAAATGTTCATTTACTGTCTCAACTTCTAAGACCTATCATATCTTATGCAGAGTTAGACACAAGTTTATGACTGTGAATTTTCCCAAGCTTATTGTCAATAAGTTCTATCTGCTCAACTTGGGAAGAAAGTTGAAACAAGGGCCTTGCACATTCCCAGAAATACTTTGCCTCTATCAAGTTGCCCATTGCATAGGCAATTTCTCCAAGATGCATCATGCACCATGCTTTCTTGACATGTATATCAAGTGTTGTAAAACCTTGCAGTGCTGTCTGAACCAGATTTTTAGCATCAGAGATGTCTGATGGCATAAGATAGACTCCTAAATTTTGTAATGCTTCATACACCAAAACCCACTGTTCAGTTTTCAATGCATGAGCCAACAAAACTATAGGCCAGTGCATTGTTTGATAAGGACGAGTCCACTGAGCATTTTTGCTGAGACGTTGAAGAGACCAATTTGTTGCTTCACTCTGTTGTCCCCAACTCTTCTTGAAACTCTCTATAAGACTTGTATATGCCAAAGACTCTGCTCCATTTCTCACATATAGATCAGTCTGTAGAATCTGACAAAGTATCACATTAAACTTGTGCTTGAGATTTTTATAACTTGTAGACACCAAGTCTAGTTGCTCCTGAATGACATCAGTGGGGTGCTGCAAAGCAATAGCAATCTCCACAAGATCCTTTCGAACAGTAGCAGTAGTCCAAAGGTTATTTGGATCTGTGCGCTCAAGAATAGCATGGCGAATTTCCCATGACTTGTGATATTCAGTTTGAAGCAAATAAATTTCTGCAATAAAGTTTAAAATTTTGTCCTCAACCCAGGATCCAGATTGTCCAGAGCATGATAGAAGATAAAGTGCTTGTTTATAGTTTGTCATTGCTTGAGAGTACTTTGCAAGAGGCATCAGGCATAACCCTTCAATCACTAGGCCATTTGATTCATCTAAAAGGCAAGCATTAACCCTGCTCAACTTCTGCATTTCCAAGCTATACTGTCGCCCTTCAAGATATTTGCCTTGTGTCCATTTGAGCATTGCAAGAGCATAGAGAGAGAAGATCTCTCCTCTGGCATCCTTCACCCTTTGTGCCAATGACTTGGCAGTCAAATGACAGTCAATTGCTTTGAAGACTTCTGAACGTAGTCTATAGATATCTCCTGCATAGTTATAAAATTGAACTAAAACATTAGGTTATATATTGAAGGAAGTGAAAATGGCTTCTAACCTTTCAAACTGTTGTCCTTAAAGTACTTGAAGTACTCAAGTGCCTTTTGCATCATGATACCTAGCTTGGAGAGATCAATGTCCCCAGAGCACAAGCGCAGTGTTGCAACCATGTATTCAACTTCAAGTTCTGGATTTTGTGGTTGTGAAAGTAGCTGAGGAACCAAGCTCATCAAAGATGTACCACTCCGCCGACGTGCAATGCTAAAGCGCTCCAGTAGCAGAATACCATGAATAATTTGAGCAATCTCTTGATTATGCAACTGAGACTTCCAGTGAGCTCCCCACCTGAGTGAGCTTTGAATATTGGCAAAGCTCGAAGAAAGCTGGGGAAGCATTTCAACTCCTGCAGCTGTTCCAGAAACATTATAGTATTGGTCCAGTGATGCCACATAGTATTGCACAAATGGCATGATCAGATATCCAGGTGCTAGATGCACCTTTTGCATATATTCTGCTATTGGTACTAAAACCTTGATTTTCTTCTGGGGGGTAATATATACCAGGGAGGTTTGCTGTAAAGCAGATATGCATGGTAGAACATTTGATAATTGATATAGCTGGGACAGCTCTTGAACTTGTATTCCATCTGGGAGCAATGAAATAATAGAAAGGAGCGTCTGTGCCTCAGGAATGGCTGTGATCCTGGTACTAGACAGTGATAATGCAATAGATATATCCAGATTGGATGCCTTGTCTATGCCTTGGGATAGGATGGAGGTCTTTTCTTCTCCCCACCGCAATAATATGTTGGAGGCCCCCTCTATGTGAACTGCAGAAGCCATCAGGCTGATGGCCAAAGGTACCAGATCTGTCAAGTATAGTAGTTCATTGAGCACCTCTGATTCATATGTGTCATCTGTAATATCAAGAAACATATGTTGGGCAGCAGTCATTGATAGTGGGCTTAGCGGAGGAAGAAATGGTCTAGTCCACAGAATATTCTGTGGACGCTCTGCACCTCTTAAAGTAACCTAACATTATTGAGAATTTTAAATTTTTAACTATGTGAAAGGATATACGGACAATGAGTGATAAACCTTCAATAGAGACTAATTGAGCTAGAAGCTTTTCAACATTGACCTTAGATTTTGGGATTTCCCATGGTGTCTCTAGATTATCTAGAATCAAGAGGACTGGAGTATGAGAGCAAAGCTCTTTTAATACAAGCTGCTCTTGGGAGGAGGGGACTGTTTTGAGCTGTAGTGCCAGGGCTATCAAATAAATGATATCATCCTTTGTACTTGCAGTATTGCAGGGTACAAACAGACGATGGTTTCCAAACTTTGCCACAATATCTGTATTGTGAGCAATTGCTTGGGCTAGTGTTGTTTTCCCAATACCACCAGGGCCCAAAACAGCTATATGAGCTGGCTTTTTCATCAACTGAGAAATAATTGAATTTAGCTCCTCATCACGTCCATATAGCAATTTAGGCTCTGGTGGGAGCATAGACAAAGTATGGGAACTATTAATAGGTGAGAGTATTAGTATCTCAACAGATATCAAAAGTGCTTGTATACCTTGATAAGGATATGTTAGAGCCTGAATAGATACTTTCTGTCTGTAACAGAGGAAAAAATCAGTTGAAAGTTAAGCCTTGATTAAGGGTCATTTACCTCCAAATGCATTTCTTGAAGTTTTCCTATAAGCTCTTGATGCTCAGAGCCCTCTATGAGGTGTAGTTGTTGCACTTGTGCGAGAATGTTAGACTTTGCAAGCTATACAAACCACCATCAATACCAGGATGTCCAGAGGGAGTGAGCAATTCATTCAGTGGCTTACCAGAAGTATATTTGTAGCATTCTCTAGTTCTTTTTCACACTCTTTACGTTGAAGAACAAGCTCTCCATGCTTAAATAGCCTTTTGAGGAATTTTTTCTTCCCCTGTTCCTGCAGAAAAGCTTGTATCTTGTCAAGGGTGCTATTAAGAAATTAGACCATGGCAAGCTCCAACTACATGAAATACTGTACACAATAAAACTCCCCAGCTCATGTGTCATATGCAGCCCAAGTCCTGTGTCTGGTGGCAGGGCTATGTAAATTGCTGCAACAGCCTGCAGCAGATACGACACCCTTTCCATTATCTTACTACAATCATCAGCATTTTGTTTCAAATCCTGTCCCACTCTCAGGTGCTGCATGTCTCGAAGGCAAAGGACACACCTGGTATGATTCTAGAATGCTTTGTGCTGTGGTTGCAATTGGTCGAAGGAATGGGTGTGGTGAAACACTGGATAAGGTGTTCAGCAGTTTGGTGGTGTTCAGCAGGGCTTGCAGGACATCTGGGCGAAGAGTGGAGGCCATGGTGACAAGGGTGTCTTCCCTGGGTTGGAGGATTTTATATACTGCTGCAGTCAAGTTTGTCAGATGGGCAATGGACAGTTGGGCAGGATGACGACGGAGCCTGAGACAGATATCGATCATGCTGGATGTCATGACTCTTGCTGAGATTCTGATTTCTCCATTGGTATCAAGGCATCGGAAATAGAGACAGGGAGTCAACTTCTGCAATCCCACACTGGGAATTTGAACAATTCATCAGTGTGCCACTCATTCGACAGATGATATATAGAAGCAACAGAAAGTCATGATCAGGAGGTGTCTTGGGGAATGGAAAATGTCGATAAAGCACTCAGTGGTCATTGCAGAGTCGCCAGGCAAAATTGAATCATAATGATGAGAAGCCAAGTGCCACGTCACAGCTGTCACCGACTCACGGCTTCATCTCTCTCTCTCTCCACCCTCGGCCGAGCCGCTCGCCGTCCCGACTCTTCCCGACCACACGAAGTCGCGACGATCCTAGACCATGACAACGGGAAGATCGCGCGGCGCAAATCCTGTCGTGTGATCACTTCTGCTCCCGAAACCACTCATTTCGCCTTCCTTCTCAACAATGTCGCGGGCGTCGTCACCAGCAACAACGATTCTCAAGCATTCGAGCCTTTTCATGCAATTGCAGCGAGGTGCATTCCACGGACAACCACCGCCGCTCATTCCCGCGTTGTCCCTCCCTAGCAACGCGACAACCCGCCAACGCTGATCTGCCTGCCATCGTGCGACACTATATTACTATATAGCGAGCACCGAGGTGGTGCACGGGCATCACACCACTCTTCCTATCCCCCATGTCGCGTCTCGCACTCACACTCGTTTTCTCCCTCCACGCCCTCCTCGTTGCGGCCCAGCTGTCTGTCTTCTCCTCCACGCGTCACCCCCGCTAACCTAACTCACAGTCCTGGCCAAACGGTCCGTTTCAGCTCCGTGCTGACTGGCGGCATCGACGGCAGTGCGTTCTTTAGCCTCCCTTTCTTTGCAGAGCGCTGATTTTTGAAACAGCCACCGGGGACTGCCTCACCGCAACCAAGAACGCGGATGGCGCGGCGGTCGTCGTGCAGCCCTGCGGCAACAACGCGACGCAGCTTAACTCGTGGCTTGTGCCCAACGGCGCTGGTGCAGAGGGCCAGATCCGCATCTTCGGGGACAAAGTGCGTGGTATGTCAGGGAGTGGCGATGGGCTAAGGATGCGCAGTGTCTCGATGTGAAAGACGGGATCAATGCAGACGGCGCCAAGCTCCAAATCTGGACGTGTTCTGCTGGGAATACAAGTGCGTGGCAGTATCTCCTGACAGGAACACGGCGCTCATGTACCGCCAGATCAGCTCTGGGTGCCGGGCGGGTACGAAATTCCTATCGCGTGGTCTGGCAAGAACAAGTGCATCGACTTGACGGACGGCAAGACTACCGCGGGCAACCAATTCCAGGTCTGGACTTGCGACTACGGCAACGCCAACCAGCGATACAACGTCCTCGACGTTACAGAACCAAAGACGTGCGTCGCGCTATCTTATGGCAAAGTGTGTCTGCTCACCTCTCTCAGCCGTACGATCCACGCCAAAAAGGACACTACAAAATGTGTCACCGCCTCCACACACGCTGTGAACGCTTCGGTGATAATGCTGCCATGCATCCCGAATGTGCCCGAGCAGGCCTTCTTCGCGCCGTTCCCCGGCCAGCTCGCCGTCGATGGCCCCTTCCTCATGAGCAACTCCACAGTGCGCGACCCCCGCTTCCTGTGCGTCACGCCCCAGGACGACAAAGCGACGACCGACGGCACCAAGCTTGTCCTTGTCGCGTGCGACGAGGCGGGCAAGAAGGCCGACCAGCTCTGGGGCTGGGCACCGTCGTCGGGCACGATAAACAACGGCGCGTACGGGAAGATGGTCATGGACCTGACGGACGGCGCACTCAACACGGGCACCCAGCTGCAGATCTGGTTTGGGAACATCTTCTCCGGCGCGGGGGAGAACATCAATCAGCAATGGGTGCAGACGTTCGTGTTCTGAGCACAAGAACTCACTCGATAAACAAACACGCTTTTGTCGTCATAATATACTTATCTGTTAGTTATATCTTTGCAGACATCATCCATCACGACGTCACACAGCGATGGTGCGATTCCTGTCTTTCCTCTTGACGACCATCTTCTCCCCGAAGAACGACCCACCCACGATCCATGACGGAGCCGCGAATCATAGCTCGAATGGAGGGGGAGGGCTGCGTTTACCCTTTGGCGGGAGGTTCCGAACCTTGAGCTTTGAAGGGCTCCGGATTCGCTGGTACGGTACTGTAGTCAAACGGTCGTATCGTCACTCGCTCATGGTATGGGCCCTCCGTGTACTTGTCATCGTGAACTAATCCTTCACTCGCGCCACAGCCGTCAGGCTCAGCCCAACGGAGTCCGAGACGCATTTCGGACTCGACTCAGAGACACCCGCATTCCTGACTCAGATCGGCCTGAGCGACAACCGGCGCATAGCTTTTGCAGAGCACAGACACTGGCACTATGCTTCCTATATTTACTCGGCCCCCGTTGTTTTCGCCATATTCCGCCAGCGCACGAACGAGATTATTCAATGACTCGACTGTATCGGAGTCGTTCCGCATGAGGAGGAGGATGGGTCCGCGCGGTTAGCCAAAGACATGGTGCGTATTCCCTTTGCTGGTTACATCGCAGAGAACAGACAGTATCCTCCTCAGATTGACCTTCTCTCCGTTGGTTTACGCCACCAGCACACGACGCTAGCAAGACCACATTATAAATGCTTCGACAGTACGTACTAATAGTCGTCCGAATGGGTATATGCTGTCCATGCCAACCACTCCCCTCACTGGTAATGCCTCGGCGGCGGCCTCAACCCCTCCCTCGCACTCCAAAACCAGCCCGTCTGTGGGTTGCGCCACCAGCCCGGATACCTGGGGTTCTGCTCCGTAAACCCGACGGGCACGACAATCGGCTGGGGCGCCAGACTGGGGAACGGTAGCGTCTCACTTGGGCGCAGCTGCGGGCCCAGCATCGCCAGATGCGCGCGGCGCAGCGCGCGATACGCCTGGAGGTTCGCCGTGGCGATGGGCGGCGTGCTGTACGCCTCGTTCCCGTGGCCTAGAAAGCCAGTCATTAACGGTCATTTGCCGCTGCAGAAACGACACTCGCGATGCATTGCTTTGGTGCTGTTGAGCACTATTGGGATCCTCGGCGGCGCGCCAACCCATATCCACGCGTCTGGGACGATCCAGGTGATGCTCGGTGTGCCGTCTATGCGACTCCATTTGCGCGTGTCAGCGGGCTGGCGATGTTAATAAATCGTTAATAGGTTAAAGTGAAGCACGTACTCTCCCTGCAGCCAGGCGTGCGACGTCAATCCAGCCCTCCTCGTAGTCGACATCCACAACCATGCAGGGCTTCAGCTCCCGGGCCCTGCGCGCATCGTACCGCTCCCCTGCCGCCAACGCCGTGGCCTCGACCTCGCGGCTGCGTGTGCTGCACCACACTATCATCCCCAGGTGCAGCTCACTGACGTCTTGGAAGGGCGGGAACATGCGGTGGACTCGAGGTTTGCAGCTCTCTTATACTCTGCCTGCAGGCTCATCCGCCCACTCTGCCATATCCATCTGGCAGCTGTACATGCCGATAGGCTTTCTCTTACCGTCCTGCGACTTTATTCGCAGGAAAGAGGGCTGCGCCTGCGCCTGCCACCCCGAATCCCGCTGGAAAGACTCGTTATGAGTTGGCCAAACAGTACGGCCAACTGAAACCGGTCGCAGCCGTTTCACTTGGGAGGGCGTCGGAGGATATTTATACATTAATGCGCTACCTCCTTTGTTCTATTCTTGCATTTTGACGCGGGTGAGTCATGAAAAGACCAGCCGAACAGCGATTGGCGTGCTGTTGCACGAGCGTCTATTTGGAAGCGATATTATAAATTGCAGGCCTCCCGACTATGAATTTCGGCGTTGGGACAGCCCAAATATGCCACTGTGGACACCAGCACCCACTTCGGAAACAGTGGCCGGAACTGCAACCTCAGGCCCTTATATGATATATCCTCCCCTACCAAGTCTCGGAGTCTGCTTATCTCTCAAGCTTAGACTTATCGTCGACGGCAAGAACAAGAAAGAGTCCGATATGCAAGGTGTACTACAAGTCTACAACAAGACGATAGGACAGTACATAATCACATACAACAGCTCTACCACAGCGCGCGCCGTGAGGAGGATTATGCAAAAGAAAAAACGGTCCGTATATGGTCCAGTGTCAAGTGTCTATACGAAACAGCTCGTGTGCGCCTCTACAACAGCGCCATCGCAACAGCGACTGCGCCAAGAACAGCAGCGGCCGACCCATGCACGCGCAGGCCCAATGCGGAGGACGGGGCGCCGCCGCTGGGCGACGTCGACGGCGCACCGCTGCCGGAGACAGAGCGCGACGGTGAGGATCCGGGCCCGGGGCTCGTGACGGACGCCGCGCCGGAGTTGGAGCTGCGGAAGGAAGAGTCAGCCTTGGCTCGCCGCGGGGTGGTAGAGTGAAATGAAATGTGAATGAAGAGGAATGGAACAAGAGAAAGAGGCGAATAGACTCAAGCGCCGAGGCTTCCCGAAGGCAATGTCGAAGGGTAAAGGGTAAATGCAAGTGCCACAGCACATGCGGCAAATGAGCAAGAAAAATGGAAGCGGGGAAAAGAAGAGCCGCCACGCACCCGGATGCGCCCGCACCGCCCGACGCAGCAGGCCCGCTGCCGCTGCCGCTCGCGCTCGGCGCGCTGGACGCGCTGGCGGCGGGGGCGATGCTGAAGCTGCTGCTCGTCGCGAAGACGTCGTTGATGTTCGTGATGTTGACAAACTCGATCGTGTACCCGTCGCTAGCGGAGATGCGTCAGTCAGGGGTCCAGAGCACACGGAGGGCGCGTGGTGATTCGCGCAGGGCCGGGTGGGGCGGTGGGAACAGAGCGGGAGGGAGTCAACCAACGCACCCAGCCTCGACGGGCGGCAGTGTCACCGTGATCGTGTTGTTCGCGGGGTCGACGTTGTTCGCGATGGCGAGCGCCTCGTTGAAGTTCGGATGGAGCAGCTCGATGGAGAAGACGCTGCGCTGGGTTAACACAGGGCAGCACGGGAGAGAGCGGGCACGCACGGGTCGTCGGAGGCGCTCGTCCACGTGATGGTCGCTGGCCCGCCGGACGTGAGGTCGCTGGGCGTGTTGACCGAGATGGCGCTGGTCGTGCTGGCGAGCGCGGCGAGGAGGACGGCGAGGGCGGTGCTGCGCGATCGCAATTGCCAGGTCAGCGACTAGTGTTAGGGCGGCAGAGGGAGACGCACGAGAGCATGCTGGAGTCGAGGACAAGGACGAGGGAAGGGAAGGGTGCGACGGGGCTGGTGGGAGGCGAGCAGAAGAGGTGGGTGAAAATATATAAGCGCCGGGCAAATGCCGCGTGTCGGCGTTCTCACGCTACGTCATAGCTGATCGGAAACGATTACGTGGGCGAAGCCAACGCCAAGGGACCTGGACCGAGCAGCCTTCTGGCAGGTACACCTCTTGCTGCGTCCACATATGCATGTCGCCGTATGCGTTTAGCCCAATATGTCCACAAAAAAAGTCCCCATTGCCCGTCAAACTTCACGTTGGCAGACGTCGTCAAGTCGTTCTGGGCCGCTCCACACGTTGCAGATGTCCCTGTCAGAGAAGGCGCGTCGCAGATATTAGACACGTGGTTTATGGCTTCTCACAAGAATTAAGCAAAATTCTCCCAGAAAGGAAAGAGAAAGTTTGTAACAATAATATATTATACTAGTACCAGGTTTAATTGTCCCCATTAAGAAACTCTGTGAGCGTGTTTGATACAAAGTGCTTCCAAACTTTTGTCATTAACAAAACTAATTTGTTGGGCTAAGCCCTTTAGAATCCATAACCCACAAAGTGTTGAAAATAATACAGTCCTTCTACATATATTGTGTTAAATGGCACAAGCGTAACAGCAATTGAGTTGAATAATTGTGATTACAATATTCACCTTGATAGACACTACTCGACACATTAGATATATTCTATTCCACATTGAATTGGGATATATTGAGATTCTGTCAGGCTTTAGGTCAGGCCGTGCAAGGCTTCTCTTGAGAAACACATGCCCAGAACAGGACAGACAAATTGTTAGGCTCGCAAGCAAAGCGAGTGGGGTAGAATTTAACCAAAAGAGCCTGTTAAAGTGGTCCCTTGCCGATGTCAGTGTTGGAGTCAAAGTGGGTCATGAGGGCCTGATGAGTTGGCAATATCTTCCTGCACAGATGACAAGTGGTACAATAGACAATAATCTAAGCGATAGAGTACGGTATACACCCTGAGGACTCAGAAGAAAACTGCAGGATTTTTTTAAAATTTTAATGAAGGTAATAATGGGTGCAAAATGGTGATCTTTATTGATCAGAACAAAAGGTTGTAAAAATGTCAACTAGATAGGAAGAGAAATTCAAACAGAAAAATGCTTCTCAGATTGTAGTATAAAAAGGTGTGTTAAGTGCCGTGCAAGAACTGAATGTAAGTAACGGACACAGTATGAAAAACGGCCCCTGAAGGAGGACTTATTTGTAACAAATCAGGTACAAAACAATGGAGCCGATTATCACACAAATTAAGGGCCCTTATTTGACTGCACATGACTGGGAATTACCTTATTTGGTAATTTGTGAGTCACATCAGGGGCTTGGATTTGAGTTCAATGGGGCAACCGTTTTTGGCAGCAACTTTTCACAAATAAATCCTGCTTTGGGCTGCTGTTTTTGTGGGAAACCCCGGTGTGTTTGCGTCCCAATTAGGATTGGTCACATTTTACAGGTTTTCTTACCAATTTAGGACTTTAACAGCAGTGACCCAAAAATGGAAGTGTGGAGCAAATCAATTGCTAAAGCCAATGCCAAACATGCACATACATTCACATGATGAAAGTCTATGTATATGACATATATAAATAGTTTAGTTCCAAGACTCTTGCAAACTCTCTGATTGATAAATTTAAGTTGACATTTCTGCCAAGCAGTTCAGAGACCACCCAACGAGAGTGTAGATAGCTCACCCAACAACAGCTCTAAATGATGAAATAACTTGAGTCAAGGCCCTGGGTTGAAGCTTTGTTGACCATTTGATATGGCCTTGGTTTCCAGCCCAGTTGATCAATGCACACCAGGGTTTAGAGTTGGGACCAAGGGTTGAAATACTTGGAACAAGCCGGATTGCTTCAAGCAATTCTCTATGAGGGGTGACCTCCTTGTGGTTAGGAGGACCAAACAGCTGTTTAAACTGTTGTGCAGCCCCATATGCATCTACTTTGAATTCAACAAATAGTTTGAAATTATTGTGCAAGGTGACATTGAGCTAGAAATTAGCATTTTAGTCATGAAGGTCTGGTCTCTTGATATTCATGAGAGACTCACAGCCTGGGACAATCCATTAAGGGTAGGTGTGAAGATTTCACTATGCAGAATCACTTCAATAATCTTTTCAATATGGATTTCTGCAATATTAAAAGCCAGCAGGGCATCTGAAACTGCATCAGCTCCTGATTTAGAGCCACACAGTGTAGCCAGAGCAGCATATGCAGGTGGATGCCTTTGATTGAGAAATTATCAAGAAATTGAATTACTAATACATGACTTACAATATATGGGTTGAATGTAATTGGGCCAAGCAGGGAGTAAGAACCAAAATGGGGAGTTGTCTTCCAGCTTCAGATATAGCATTCAGAAGACGGAGACTAGCCATCCGTGCGGAATTTGTGCTGGGCTGTACTAGAAATGAACCAATCAGGTCTGGCTCCTTGAACAAAACCCAGTCTATGATCCTTTGCTGATTCTTTCTCTTGAACTCAAGATATAGCCTATCATATAGATGGTTAAATAGTAGTGCCTTGACACTTGTGGAAAGATATGGTGATCTAGCAGTATTATTATTGTGTAACATATTCCAGAAAGACACTGTGGTGTACCTGAGATATGCCCCAAACAGTTCCAGAATGTCGTTGGACAGATGATTGGGGTTGTATTCTTTGAGCAGTTGGCGTGCAGTCCGTGTATGCAAATATCGGAGCAGAGGCTTGGTGGCACTATGCAGATCAAAGGTTGCACCAATATCATTTCTGTCGGACCACCAGCTGTGCACACTGTGAAAACTGGGAATTGAGTGGGAGCGCGAGAAAGATGGCATAAGAAAATCTGGAATGCTGCGTGACTTGAGAGTGAATGAGGCAGATACCGCGGTGACCACACAGACCTGGTAGTAATGAAAGGGACCAAAAGGCTAAGGCATAGCTGCAAATGCATCACCTTATATGGACTAGTCGGTGCATATATAATCTCGTGATCATGATATTTACCAATGTATTTATCTGCCAGGGCCAGATGCACAGCTTTGAGAGCTGTTAGTTCGGAATCCGTCATGGTTACACGGCTAATCGCAGCAACGAGCAAGCGAAAAGCTGAGGAAAATCATGATGAACAGACTCAGCTGTTGATATGCGGCCGGTGGAACAGTGAGGCCATGATGAAACTGAATTCAGAGTTGCGCCAAAGAGATTGGGAGTGACTTGCTGTTACAAAACCCGCTAGTGCAATGATGCATTCGAATTCAAGCACAAGAGCTGTGCCTCAGAGAACGACCTTCGCCGCGAGGAATCCTTCCCACTCCGTCTCTCCCCACCCGCTCGATATTTCGTTGGCGACGAGCCCGTCCCACAGCACAGTCGGCGAGACATGTATCCCGTTCTGCCGGGCGAATTTGACTAGTAGAGTGTATGTCAATTGCAATGCCCTTGACCAACACAAGGCAAACGCACTGGTGTACTTCAAATCGTCAGTGACGCCGTTCCCGCCATTCGGGCTTGTAGTCTTCAGCGTCAATAGCTGGGTCACACCATCCGCCGCACTTTGGTCGACCTCGGCCACGAGCGCCGCGAGTTTTGCGCGGATATCGGCCCGCGTGAGCTTCTCCGTCGGCGCATCGAAGTACTCGCCCTGCCGCGCAAACAGTGCGAGCGAGAACGGCCAGAAAGACGCCGGCGCCGCGCGTGCAACCTGTGCATATCACGTTAGATAGGAGAAAACGTGAAAGAGCGTATGACAACGTACTGCGAGTCCCGCCTCGTGCACCAGCGTCGACGAGACGTGCCACGGCTGCACCTGCGGGCGGAACACGACCTTCACCTTACCGTAGTAGACGCCGCCCGGGCCGAGGAGCGGGCCGAGTATGCTGTCGATCGCGCGTGCCATCTTCGCACTAGGAGCGGTGAGCGGGGCGGACGGCTGAGGGGAGGGCGCACCTGAAGGGGCAGACGTAGTCCACTGCGAATGGTCATCGATCGATGAGTGGCGTCAGAAGAAGTATTGGTGGGATGACGTACGGAAGACGTCGAGAGTGTGCGGCGCGTCGGGGGTGCCCGCGATGAGCAACGCACGGAGGGTGGGTTGGAGGGCCATGACGACGTGGGAGTCAGGAGGAGAGAAGCGGATCGCGTAATCGTCACGCAATGATCGATGATTCCCGACGACTGACAGACCCTAGTGCAAGCACCCAATAAATTAGAAATACATAACAAATTTACATACACATCTTCAATCTTTGTACAACTGCTCAATCAAATAACAATAACCCCTGCAATGAAAACGAAAAAAGTAACCAAATGGCATGGCCCACCACGCAAGCCATCATACCAAGCTGCGCACACGAGCCGCGAGCCGCTCAGGATCCACGGGCTACAAAAATACTCCGTGAGTGAGGCTCTATCACGTCAATAGTGGACTCACAACTGTCAGCAATGCGTTGTCCACCTCATGTTGAGGGCCCGCCGACGCATTACCAGGCTGGAGGCACGGTGGGGACGCGGGCCGAGAGTTCGGCGCCGAGAGCAGGCCCTTCTCAATGAACGTCTTTTCCGTATCGAAATCTGCGTCTGTTGTACGTGTGCGCGTAATATGGATGGTCAAGGAGGACTGTGGAGCAGTATGAGACCATTAAATAGCAGCGAGGGTCAAAACGCACGCGGGGCGATACCGGACGGCTCGGGGACGGCGTGGCATCCCAACGCGACCACGTCTTGACGCCAGTAGTCGGTTCCGGCGACCCGCGGCCGTTTCGCACGATTCGGCGGTTGGACGGACGTGAGTTAAGGCTGCAGAGGTATTAGCCGGCGCAAGCACAAATAAAGAGTGACGTGCGAGGCGAGGAGAGTATTCGAATACACTGATACTGGTCAGCAGAATGCGAAGCAAATCAGGTGGGAGCAACTTGCATTTAGCCAAGAGGGTGTACAGCGCAAGCCAGACATCTGTGCAACGCATCAGTCGATGAACACGGCGGAAGGGAATCCATACAGTTGTACTTCATCGTGGTGAACTAAAGATAACTACATCAGCACGTAGGAAAGCGGATAGATTGGACACGGGGGACATACAGCAATCACCACCGTGACGGATGTGAGGCTGAAAGGACAAAATCAGATTGTCCTGTGCGGATTAAAATTGTCGACGACCTTGTTATCAGTCCAGTTTCTAAATCTCGACGATCAGCGGGTGGCTGACGACTCACTAGACTCGATGGCATACCGATAGTCCACAGAATCATCCGGTCAAGCAGCACCTCCCCGCCTGGCAGATTGTACGGATCGTATAGCTTGCGCATGTAAAAGCAGAGCGAAAGCGTGATAAGGACGTCGAGCACGACGCCGATGTCTAGTGCCGTAGTGATAACCCATCCATATGTGTTCTTGTGGAAATTTAATTATCAAGGTAACTCTGAGCAACGAATGTATATACCTGGTAGTGGAAGCCATTGGGCTGCAATGGAACGTCGTTGACGCCCTCGACGGCCATAGCAAGCCCGCCAACGAGCCGTGCTAGGCCAAGTGAAGCACAGATTCCGGGGATCAGCTTGCGTCCAGACAGGAGATAAATGCGGTAGGTGAAGAAGCCCTGTGTAGATGTATTACCGCCCTGCAGGGTTGCGGATCTGGACGCACCTGCACCATCGCAGTGATAGCAGTTTCGAATACAGGGGTAACCGCCAGCGAATATGAGTTGGCCACCCTCTCGAGCTCGGGAACGCCCGCTTCGAGGATGGTGAAGAAGTAAACTGCATGGCAAGCTGAGATCGTGTGCGCCAGTTCGAGGATGCTACCATATACATCTCCGTCAGCAAACCCCGCCGCGAGCAGATGGAGCGTACAGAAGAGTCCCAACGAAGATACGCAACCACAGACGGTCCTCTGCAGCACTCCTCCAGTAGATGTAGCCCTGAAGCGCAACGATACCGAAGAGAAACACAGAAACGAAAACGCCGATTTCCAGCACGCCGAGAATGAGCGGGCTTTCAACGCCGTACGGAACCATCTTCAAGCTTGCAGTCCGCGGGGGGTGGAGAAAGAAGGACGAAAGGGTAGGAGTCGTCAAGACCCTGAAGTCGAAAAATGGGCGTGGATGGGGAAAGGGCGATAGAAGGAGCAAGCTCGCGGCTAGTGGGTGGGGGAAGGTCATTTATGGGGGACTTCCCGGATGCTGCATCAGGATCGAAGCACAGGAACGCACAACTGGGTAGATGCCTCCCAGGCCCGTGCGAGAGGGTGAAGGATCTTCGGTACTAGTAGTGGCTGACTTGATGTTGATTCTTCATACTGTCGGCTTATCCATGTTAGCTTCGCGACAATGAGCTGCTCGGACCTTCAAAGCTTCACGGGCGGAAAGCGCTCTTGCTCGGGCCACGACGACGTGAGAGTTAAGAGCAAAGAAGTGTCATCGCGTGATTGTTACGCAATGATCACTGATCCTGTAATCACCCCAAGGATTCAGAACAAAAGTGGGGCATTTTTAAAATTTTTAATCAGGGAAATAAAGTTGCCAATAAGGTCTACCATTTTTGTTGCCTAGATATCTCTCCAAAAATGGTCCATATTTCTGACCAGATTTATGGACAATCAAAGTAAAAAAAAAAGGATCCAGATCTCATCACAATCTAGGTCTCAACAAGGTGGCATTTTTGGAAACAAAAAAGGTTTAAAAATGCTATCTTCTTTTCAACCCATATTGTTCTGATATCTTTCCCAACTTTTTCATCTATTTTTTGTCCAAGAAATTGTTATAAAAATAAAACCAGTTTATTCAATAAAAAAAGGAGAACAAAAAGGCAGGTCAGATAATAGTGAAAAAAGGGGTGTATTATTCTTTTTCCCGACGAGCAATCAAGTGGGAAACAGTGGAGGTGCCAGCCCAAATTCGACCGCTGCTGGACTCCAATTTCATCACTCGTGAATCATGCTGGAAGCTGAGTCCAAATATCACCAACCATTGGCTGCGGCTTGAAGGTTTTTTACTCGCCGTCTTGCGGTGGCAATGCATTAAAACCACTGCAAGATTCCCCAATTGCTTCCTTGGGTTCTTTACTCACTCACCCTCCCACTTCCGCTACCAAGACTCCTTTTTAACCAAAGATGCACTGCTCAAAGCCATGGCAGACACACAAGAAGCATTTCTCCCTGTGCTTGCAGCAATTGCAATGCATGCAACACTTTTGGATCTTGCCTTCACTGATGCTGACTAAAGCTCCCCACAAGTGTCAATACCTGTGAATGTCAACACAGATACCTGTGCTCAAACATCTGCAGGTATTACAACTGCAGGTACAAATACCTGTTTCCCCAGATAGCATGAGTACAGGTCTGCCTCAGACAGTTACTGAATGTTCTTGGCCATCTCCTTTTAGTGGATTATGGTTTATATATTTGATGAATATAGCTATTGACAACATCTCATCTGCTTATATTATATATATGACTAGTATAACTACCAGATATTAGTATATTGTGTATTAAAACCTGCAGAATACCTGTGCATGTATCTGTACACATGCGCATAGGTGCCTGTTTCCCACAGATGCTTTAGGGTGCAGTTTTTAAAGATTTGAGGATTAAAAAACGGTTTATAATTTTCCGTATCCCAAACTGGTGTTTATAAACTAGTTTGTAAACCAGGCATCCAAACACGTGATATTCTTGATGTCATTATATAATTTTTTTAGCCCTATATTCTGGGTGAAAGAGACTAGAGTTACCTTTATTCCTCTTTTCACTCAGTAACCTGTGGTACAGGTCATAATTTACTATATATAAGGTACAGGACTTATAATTAATAATTTAGATCAGCTGGCTAGTAGCCATATCACTAAGGTCACGTGACTGGCCTGGTTTATAAACCAGGGACCCAGTCAAATCTTCACTGGTTTATAAACTGGTTTGTAAACCGGATCAAAAAACTGCACCCTAAGATGCTTAAAGTACAGGTGTCTGTTTTAGACATTCCAATACCTGCAGGTAAAGTAGAAGTACCCTACCTGTAACACTCATGGGGAGCTTTAATGCTGACTGGCGCCAGAAAATCCCTTCATCGACAAAAACACACCCTCAACTCTGGGATTCACTCGAACAAACAATAGAGAACATGACCAGCAACTGCGTTGGCGGCATTGTCAATTTCGTCAGCGCGGATGATATCCGCAAATTCTGTCAAGTCAAATGGATCTTCGCATTAATGCTCAAGCATAACCGCCCACTCCCCTTGTATATCAGATTCAATTCCACCACTCTCCCGCAGCTTCTTTGGTTGGAGCTCTGCCAAAACTTCAAACTTGAAGTCAAGCTTGAGAATTTGATGGCAATTTATGACTCCCCCGATGCATACCCTCGATTGAGTGGGTCTATGTTGATCCCAACATTCGGCAACATGGCGTATTCACCAATTATGACTACAAGCCTCCGCGCAAGCATCCCCAAGTCGAGCCACAGAGCGGACAAAAGCAGGATGAGTCATTCCACAATTTCTTCTATCGTCACAAGCTAGAGAACGCATGCACGGACGACAATAAGTTCTACATCTGCCATCTTGTCCCTCATTCGGAAATTGAGAAGACTTGAACGAAACTCGAGTTTATGACGAACGAGTGGGACCTCTGTGAGCCTTTGAATCCGCTAGCCATGGACGACAGGTCCCGGATGGAAGCAGAAGATGATCTATTTGCTGGAGACAGTGATTTTGACGGGCTCTGGCCAAGCCAATCTTCCGTCACCCTGGATTTGCCAGAGATACATCCCAACACGGCCGCTGTTGTCTAAGAACCCAATACTGTGGCTGATGACCTCCTTACGGGGTCCCAGTTAGAACATGCTGAAGTAGACAGGACTTGCAGCTGCCCATAGAGACGTACTCAGTGGTGGACACTCTACATGTTCACTTTGGTTTTCGAAGTTCCAAGGGCGATTTCCTGCCCAAGGAAATGTTACAGCCGCATGTGGCACTCAATGCCATGGGAAATGATGACTGGGACACAGACCTGCCCCAAGCTGTGGGTGCATTTCTACACACACTCCAGTCCGCCAGCTCACTTGCTGATGTTTCGTTCAGCTCTTTTGATTTAACGCACCATGATCTTTGGGAATAGCGCGGAATCGATGTTCAAGTTGTGGAACGAGTGGATGCAAAAGAGGAGCATGGGAGATATGTTTTCATCGTTCGGCCCCATGGTGAAGGCAAGAGCGAGCAATCTTGCATCGTGATACCCTGTGCCCAGGCTGTACTGAACTTGTTGCGCTCATCCATCCGAGATTGGTCGACAATCATCGCTCTTCTTGTCCTTGGCGGAAGCTAATTTTACACTGCTGTGGAAGACGCTCCGACGTGTTGGAGCCCAGCAGTTCCACCGCCAATGCCTTGAATGGGCTTTCGCAAGGCAAATTACATACCGACACTCCTTGACTACTACGGATATGTCAGGCTTGCTGACAAACTATTACGCTCGCCTTGGAGCAAACTTGCGATTCATGCTGGTGGCATCATTTCGCGAATCGCCCATCTTATCATAGAGAGCCCGATTAGTCTTTGCTCACAAGACAACCTTGACATATATGATGCCAATGCATCCTTTCCTATTCCCGGGCCAAAACGGGCTGTTTTCTTTGAGAAATTGACAGCCGAGCAAGAGGATCTGATTTGTGGGGTTTATTCAATAGCAACAGGTCAGTCAAACCGAAAATCTAGCACATGGACTGATTATTTTTAGATCAATTGGATCGACGAGACGTAGTGCTCTGCCGGGCCGGGCTGCCTGAGCCCAGCCGAGGAATTCCCAAGCCTGGGCCCGGGGCCCTTGACAGGCCCGGCCCGAGCCCTCGGGCTTTAAGCCCGGGCGGCATGGGTACAACAGAAGCCCAAGGTCGGGCCTTGGGATTTCCCAGGCCTGAGCCTCAGGCCCGCCTAAGCCTGAGCCCTGATCCGGGCCGGGCTCGGGCTGCCCGACGCGGGCTGGGCCAGGCTTCGGGCTCCAAGCCCGGCCCGGCAGAGCACTAACGAGATGCCACGGGCCATCAACAGTGTCGTCTATCTCGGTGGCTCACCATTTGCGCAATCAGGTCTCAATATTGGATGGTGGTCACCAAACTGTGACAAGTGGTTTGACAAGGAACTCGTCAAGATGGAGTTGGGGCAAGGAGTATTGTAAACGTAGGAACAGTGGGGCAAGTCCCTCCGACTGATGACCAAGTCCATGAAAATCTAGCAAGCACAGCACAAACTGGGAACTGAATATCTGCGTGCTCATTCGTAGTGTGACTTCACTTTTTTTTTTTTTTGTAAATTGATAATAAATGAATGAAAATTTCCTGCTGCCGATACGTGGCCGTGAGTCGGCCGATCATCGGCCACTAAGAATAATGCACCCTTTTTTCACTATTATCTGACCTGCCTTTTTGTTCTCCTTTTTTATTGACTAAACTGGTTTTATTTTTATAACAATTTCTTGGACAAAAAATAGATGAAAAAGTTGGGAAAGATATCAGAACAATATGGGTTGAAAAGAAGATAGCATTTTTAAAGCTCTTTGTGTTTCCAAAAATGCCACCTTATTGAGACCTAGATTGTGATCATATCTGGGTCCTTTTTTTTACTTTTATTGTCCATAAATCTGGTCAGAAATATGGACCATTTTTGGAGGGATATCTAGGCAACAAAAATGATAGACATTATTGGCAACTTTATTTCCCTCATCAAAATTTTTTAAAAATGCCCCACTTTTGTTCCGAATCCTCGGGGTGAATGATGTTGCTAGCTACAAACATGCTAGATATTCTGGACTTTGGACTATATATCTAGCGCCTGTTAATAACAATTCTTAGCAAAGATGTTAAAAACTTGCTACTTGCTAGATAAAAACTATATTTAACATGCTATAAAGAATTGACTATGCTAAAAATGAGCTGTTGCTAGTCATCAATGTCCCAGTCCTCTTTGTCATCCACCTCTATGGCCACTGGCTTAGCTTGGGGTTGAAAGGTAGTGCCTAGTGCCGTTGGCTGGGTTAATGGCACGGTATTTCGGTGAATTTCCATGTGATATAGTTAATACATCCATCATCAAGTCACTCCTCCTTGATCTCGCAATCCAGTGCATCAGAATATAGAAATCAATGTATTCAGAATGAGATGAACAATTTAGATACTTTTGCTCAAATTCTGAATATTTATCAATATTTATCATCTACATTTATGTGGCTTGATGCTAAAAGTGTTATAAACAAGATAATAACATGCTAAAAATGGCACTGTTTTTAACCTCCGAGTTCTTAGCACAGCGCTAATCCGGAGTCGAGACAGAGGGAAGCTGCATAAGTAATCTATTAACAATATGTATATCGAAAATACTGTATGTCCATATTGGAGAACTTTTGACCCAACTAATAACTAGGGATGAGCACGGGTCAACCCACGGGTGTCCGGAGGCTGACTCGGACCCAGACCTGCACAGCCACTGATCTGTGACCCGCGGCTCCGGGTACGGGTCCCCCGCCGGGTTGCAAGGTGGAGGGAGAATTTGGCGACAAATAATACTGAGGAAAAAGAGGGTAAGAGGCAGAATTGAACGCAGGACCCCTCGGTAAAGTTCCAACAGGCAAGCCAACAGTAAATCACTATAAGCCAGCTAGACTGAGTAGGCACGGGTCAAGCTGCAGCTGACCCGGATCCGTACCCGCACGGCTCAAACCCGCCAACCCGCGTGGGTCAGCCGGACCCGTGCTCATCCCTACTAATAACAACATGATGTCAACGGGCGGCAAGTCTGTCAGGATCCACCGGCTACGAAATACCGCGCCTCAGTGGGATTTTAGCATAGAAGCATGGGTGCATACAATGGCCGAGAGGAAGCGTTTCTGAATGCCAGAAAAATCTAAGTCGGTGTCCACCGTCCGTGTTTTTGTGACATGGATCGTCAAGGACGACTGTCGCTCAGTCAGCAGTCCGTCTCACTGTATATACTAGGCCCGGGTATCATGATGGAGGTGCAGAAAGATGACACTCACCCGCGGCGGCGTAACAGGCCGGCTTGGCGTCGTCGTCGTGGCCTCCCAGCGCGACCAGGTCACAACATCGTTGTTCGCCCCGGGAGACCCGCGGCCCCTGCGCACGAGCTTCCGGTTGGCGGACCGCGAGTTAAGGCTTCATATACATTAGCACAACGATATATGGCAAATTAAAGAGACGTGCGAGGCGAGGAGCGCATTTGAGTACACTAGGAAAGATCAGCACGGGAGGGCGCAGAAGCGGCAAGAGAAGTGGACGACTTGCGTTTGGCCAAAAGGGTGTACAGGCCGAGCCAGATGACTATGGAGCTGTTATGAGCCAGAGAAGAGAAACCTGGAACAGGTGATCTTACAGTTGTGTTTCATGGTAGCGAACTGGGCACAATGAGCGTGGCCCAACAGAGGGAATAATCACAGGAACTGACTGTTACTACCACAGCAATAGATGTAAGGCTGGAAATAACTTGGCTTGGACAGTGGATATAACTTGAATTGGAAACCCACCTTGTGATTAGTCCTGTTTCTGGAAAAGGATGTCATTAATTTCGCCGTTATGGGAGTCAAACGACATGCCAATCGTCCACAGAATCAGCCGGTCAAACAGCATGTCGCCGCCCGGCATGTTGTCCGGGTCATATAAGCGTCGGATATAAAAACAGAGCGACAGAGTGATAAAGACGTCCAAAACAACACCAATATCCAATGCAGTGGTGATGATCCATCCATATGTGTCCTGTGCGGGGTATCATATGGTAGCGCACGAATCGTAGAGGCAACACACTTGGTAATAAAAGCCATCAGGTTGCATAGGGACGTTGTTGAATGCTTCCACCGCCATCGTGAGGCCTCCGACAAGCCGCCCTACCCCGAGCACAACACAAATGGATGGTATTAGCTTGCTCCCCGAAAGAAGGAAAATTCGATATGTGAAGAAGCCCTTGAATGATAAGGTAAATGCGAACCCTGAGCAAAAAAAAATCGGACCCACCTGAACGACCGCTGTAATCAGGGTTTCAAACACCGGCGTCATGGCGAGCGAATACGAGTTGGCCGACTTTTCCAGCTCGGCTGTGCCAGCCTGAATTACGGTGAAGAAGTAGATCGCATGACAGGTCGCAATCGTGTGGCCGAGCTCGAAAAGCCTAAAAAGAGACCTTTCTGTTAGCGCAGTTTATGCGCAACTTGAGCCAGACGCAAGACGCACAGAAGAGCTCCAACAAGGACTCGTAACCACCACCGATCGTCCGCAGCGCTCCGCCAGAAGATATATCCCTGCAGGGCGACGACACCAAACAAAAATATGGCGACAAAGGCACCAATCTCTAGAACGCCAAATAGAGGTGGCGTGTCGACGCCATATGGTACCATGGTGAAGTTTTTCAGAGCCGAGGTAGGAAGAGTGGGAGAGGAAGCGAGTGATCGAGACCTAAAAGACCTGAGGATCGGAAAACGAGAGTCGATAAGAAAGGCAAGCTCACCGCTCGAGATGCGGAAAAAGCATATATAAGGACCTGACCAAACGCGAGGTCATCACAATAGAAGCACCGGCAGTGCACAGGGAGGTGAACGCAGAGACAGGGCCGATGGCTCCCAGGCTCGTGCAAGAATAAGAACAGCGTCGATGCGAGAAAGGGTGATGCTGATCCTTCGTAGAGTCTGTATTATCTGGAGGATATCATGTTGGTTTGTGGTTAATCGACCAGACGTTGGGAGTTATGTGTCGTCCATAACACAAACCAAACACGAACGCGGCGTTGGAACTTGAAGGGCAATGAAAGGGTTGCAGGTACTAGAAGCTTAAGGCTGCAGTTTCTCGCATTGCTTGAATCTCAGGCGTGCGCCCGACATCATTCTACAGCTTATGGCATAATGTCGGGAGCTGGAAGAAATATTAATAACCGGACTTATATGCTGTCATCTCTATATCGGGCCATCTTTCACTTGCTTCCCTCACACAAGCTCAGCAGCGATGTCCTGGCAGGGTACACCTCTCATCCACCGATGCATCTCAGTGACCTCACAACACTGTGCAGAATACATCGATGGCAACCTAATACCTAGTGGCAGTGTCATGCGCGCAGCGATTATTGGAATTCAGGGCGGGGTGTGGGCAAACAGCCCAGACTACACCGTGCGTGCCTCCTTGCTGTATTACGGCTCCTTACTACCACCGTGACTGTAGATTTCGTCAGTCGACCAGAACACCATAGTGCGAGCGTTCGAGCGGCCCGGAACGATCCCAGCCATGTCGTTTGGAGGGAATAAATACCGACTCATCGTCCAGGACGCGACAGAGATGATTGGGAGGCGCGAGACGGATCCGGTGCGCCACATCGGGCCTTTCTACCTTCATCGCTTGGCTGACTGGCACTGAGCAGACGAGCGGGTGTTTCATGTATCGCACCAAGCAGACGGTGCTCGTCACAGAGTACGATTCCCCGGTCATGATTCATGACACGCAAAAAGTGGTCACGCGGCTTGGCGAGTATTTAGTCTCGGCGGGCTATTAGAAATGTTTAAACGGCATTGCCTTCGAATTCCAAAATCTACAGTACGAATTGAAAAAAAATCATAAAGTATAAGTAACTTCCCTAATTTTGGTTTAAAATGGTCCTCCGAACTCATGCTTTGCATCCCGGCCAAAGGCGATCGGGGACTCAGATCGGTGAGAACGGTCAGACTGCAGTCATCGTCAGAAAATGGAGCATATATCAAACGGATAGAGCATACGCCGTTTCGGAGGGACTTCATGGGGTGTCCCTCGCTGTCTGCATCGATTTTGACCACTGCACTGCGGTGCACGTCTGCCCACACATTGATCAGTCGACTTCAGATGTGAGACTGTGGGTGAGACGACGCACGTATACCATCCTCCCGGCTGCCTGTTGGTTTGGAGCGCGTGTCGTGCGGCACACCGCCCGTCGCAGAAGACGTCGCCCCATGACTGCGACTGCGTGTGCCGCTCGGATTTACCAGCGCACGGACGTTGAGATTGCTCAACTACTAGCCGTCAGCTCATGCGCAGATATATGGAGGCAAACAACCCACCATCGTGAGTACATAGACTCGTCCAAGGCAGTAGGCAATTCCAAGCGGGACTTGGATAAGTCAGTGACCGGCCGAGGCACGAAAAAAAATGCAGACCGTTGCTCTCGTTGTTGACCAGATAAGAAATATTCGCCGCGAGCGCAACTGCCGCGCTAGCGCTGCCGGTCTGGATCGTCTGCAGGGCAAGACGGTTAAGCATGCTTTGCGTCTCCTTGAAGCTACTCTTCACGCGGCGGAACTGCCAAACGAGCGCGACAGCGATGAGGAGGTCAGTCACGGCCTGCGAAATGACCCATGTGGCAGCGAAGACGCGGGCCTTGCTCCGGTCGACGTACGACGGGAAGCGGGTGACGGTGATTCCCGTGGCGAAGCAGGCGCCGGTCTGTAGATGGTGAGCGGGGGTAGAAAGTATGGGGCGGGGACGGACCGCAACAATAATGACGAGGAAAAAGAATAAGGTGATAAAAATATTCTTGGAACTACGTTTGTTAGCTATGCTTCGAAGGAGAAGACGACGCACAATCGCCAGTACCGCGCAACGAGGAAGACCTGCACTTCCGCCGCGACCAGGCCCGTTGTGAAGATCAATAGCGGGAACGTCTGTGATTCATGAGCCAACTTTGCGTGAGGGTGCTGAACCGCGGACCCAATTCTGGTTGCTCAAGTAAAGCATGTCACCGGCGTGCGTGATCGTGTAGAGGTACACGGCCGCATAGTTCCCCACAGCGGACGCTGTGTCCAGAAGAAAGGCGCTGATCACGAGCGCCTTGAGATACCAGTCGTCGTTGGGAAAAGACCGAAAGTAGCGGATGACCTGGCTAGCTTCGACGGAATATAGTAACTGCGAGTCGAATGAAAAAGCAGCGAAAAAGGGGCAGGTCGAAACACAGCACATACAGAGTTGACCCATGTACCGACGAGGAGCGCGCTGGCGTCAGTCGCAGCGTTAGCGTAGTCGTGGGGCGGGAATGCGGCGGCACATACCCAGTAACGATGTCGAGGGAAGGCATGTGGGAGAGGAGAGAGAGGACGACTCACAAGTGAGTCCACGATATAGCCGCCGAATGATCTGCGCGATCGGAGCGTATAGGGGCCCTTGAGTTGTCATGGAGGCGCCAAGAGGGCGTGCTCAAGGGGGTGCTGCATGTGCTGACCCGAGTGCCCCGAGTTGTCCTGCGAGGTCATGGAGGAAAAAAAAAGCGCCACATAGCAACGTGATCGTCACCGTGACCAAGCGCCGTGACCGACGTCGGATCTGGGGACGCGGGTCTTTCGGGGTCACGGTGTGAGAGCCAAGCTCTGGCTCTATGGGCAAGGCCATTGTTTCTGACTACAGTTCACGCGCCGCCGATGCCCATCGGTACGGAGGGCCTCGAATCCCGACAAAGTTTGCCGCGGCGCCCGACGCACTTCCTGCCCCGTCGTTGTGGGGCACTCTTTTTTTTTTTTGAATTTCCGATCGGCACACGACCCACTCACTAACCATTAGGGGAAATAGCTACGGTTTTATCGGCCCGAACCCGATGGAGGTGTTGACACCAGAATTATTTTCCTGACTAGTACTCTTGAGGTGTGTACGTGCACTCGTATATATCAAGATACTTGAGCCTCCAAGTATCGCGCCCAACCAGTGTAACGCTCGCCGGCGATTAACTGGCGTGCCGTACGTGTGGTGCGCAGCATCACGACAGCTGACGTACGTGACAACGCATGACCACAGTCGACGGCGGCCGAAGCCTGCCGATCTATTCTATCTTCGCCTCCTCCCCCATCCCCTTCGCCATTGCTCCCGCCCCCGATCCGCCCTCCCGCCCAGCGCTGCATCTACGCGTCTGCAACAACCGCAATATCGCGCTCGACAACCTGCCGTATACGCGCCACTCGCTATGGACTCAGACGAAGACGACAAATCGTCTGTTCTGCAGTCCACTAATGAGACGCTGGTCCCTCTGCAGGCAACGACCCTTTCGTCGTTGAGGGCCGCTGCAAAGGCCCTCGACAACGCGCGTACCGCCCTGAACAACGCGCAAACGGGCGTAACACCGGTGGTACCGGTCGCAGTCGTTGACACACTACAGCTAGAAGTGGCGAAGCTACAAGCGAGGCTGCTTGAAGCGCAGAATTTGAATGCGGCGCTCCGAGATGAGCTGAGGGTTGAAAGGGACCAGAGGGCAGAGGCAGAGAGGGAGCGGGTTGACTTGCAGAAGGCATTGGCGGTGTCGGAACACGCCCGGGAGACCTTGGAGGCCACTAAGGAGCAGGAGCAGAGGATTCTGGCAGAGCAGCGAGCATGGATCGCCACAAATCTCAAGAGGATGGGAGAATACGTCCACTCTGGTGCGTCTCTTTGTCCTTGTTGTGGGTGACCGATAAACCATGTGCAGGCTCGATTTCCCAGCTGCCTGAACTTCCACCCGATTTCCAGACCAGCTCCCGTGCGTGCTCAGCATTACTCTTCACGTTCGGCCTCTTACTGTACCTCCAAAGCCGTCATGTCGAGCACCTCACCGACTGCGCTTCCTCCCCCGCAATCTCGTGGAGACTTCTACCGCCCTCCAAGGTCCCTCTCGCGCAGCCGCTCTCGCTCCCCGCGTGAGTCCCCTTGTCTTTCACTCCCGCCCTGTCGTAACATGTGTGTTCCAGCACCACCACCCCAGCGCCGACGACGCTCCCCCTCCCCCTGCGCCGCAACGTCCGCTGCGGGACCGAATCGGCGGCCCCGTGGGTCAGCGGGAGCGCGACCGGCGCCGCGAGCCATATAGGCGAAGCATAACCCCAGAACGAAGGAGATAGATGTTGCTGCATTTGCGTTGAGTGTCCTGCTCCTATGGCCGATGCACAGCCGCAATTCAAAAATGTTTAGGTGGGAAACGTTAGTGGGAATATATAAAGTTTTTTCTTGGCCCAAAAACTCATTGCAAAACATTAAATATTTTGGTCCTAAAAATCCTGTTGCCCCAGCCAAGTCAACATTTTTTGGGCAGAAAAGCTCAAAGTTTTTTACACAATAAAAAATTAATTGCAAAACTTTATATATTCCCACTAACGTTTCCCACCTAAACATTTTTGAATCACAGCTGTGATGGGCCATCCAGGTCTCGACCACCATCAAGCTGTCAACGTCGCGTGGCGTCACGTCACGCGACGTTGACACATTCGACACGTGGAACTGGATTTACTTCGATGTTTTGTTCATTCTTTGCTCGACGCCGTGAATTGTAATATGACAACTTGTATTTTGCTTATATTTGATAAATCGGACCTATGTTTTTAGTAAAGCCTTCCATATTGGGTGACTTCCTGTAAGGGAAAAGAAATTAGATGTAATTTCTGAGCGGTGCCAACCTGTCACTTTTTTAAGGAGGAATTTATGTTTTTAAGAGGAGGCTTCCGCACAATTTGATAGATGATCAAGATCATCATCACGTGTCAACACTTCTCTTGCGTCAACACTTCTCTCCGCACTTTCATGGCCGCATTTCTGCTTCTACTCCAAATTCACTAACAGATGGAGGATGACAATGATGACGATGAGATAGATGTTTGGGGGGCAGTCCTCTTACTAGGGTTTATGGAGGCTCATTGGCTTAGAGTTCAGCGACGCAATCCGAGCCAACTATATCTGTGTTGACCCCAACCGCTTCCTAACCCACGGATGGACACCCTGTGGCAGGCACCTTATATGAGCCGCGATGACCGTGCATTCATCACCACAATGGGCTTTAGGGCTTGGTTTCTTCGACACCGTGACATTTGACTACATCATGAAGTCGGGATTTGACAGGGCTTGGTATGCAACATCAATATCACACGATGATGTTTCAAGAACAGGACAGTCACATCCAGGTGCACGGTCATTGGATTCGGCAGGGGCACTAGACTTGGTACTCCACTATCTCAATTCAATAAAATTTCCTTCTAGCAAATCTTCACACTCATTCCAACCACCACTGTGTCTGATTTGCCCTTAGAGTTCTTCGCTTTATCCCCGAATCACAAATCCAGGGGCCAAGAACTGACGAAGAGTTCCAACGGCTCAATAACCTGATTACTGAATGTCATCCACAACTAACAGGCACCTTTGCCACTATTGATGGGCTCAATCTTCCCTTGCAAACATCTGGAGACCCAGAGGTTGAGAATGCGACCTACAACGGCTGGCTTTGCAAGCACTTTATTAGTTCTATGCTTGTGTTTTCTCCCCAAGGTGCATCAGCAATGCATTGACTTGGATGTCTAATCTAACTGAACACAGGAACAAATATTGCTGCTTCTCTCAACAAGCCTGGAAGCTGGCATGACTTGTGCGTGGCAAAACCAATCTACAAAAAGCTGTTGGACATGACACCTAATGGCTGGTACCTTTGCGCTGACACAGCATTTCTGCAGGGAACAGCTCAAATCGCTGGTAAAATCTGTGCACCAATCAAGACTGGACAGGTTCTGGCAGGTGTCAGGGGAACCCCCGCTTCGGCCTCCTTCGGACCCTCCGAACGCATCCGAGGCGCATCCGACCGGCGCCCCCTCGGACGCTCCGACCCACCCCGACCATCGTCCCACGGCCTCCTTCGCCCGCACAATCACCGATCCGTCAAGACCCTCCCAACGATCACCTTGGGACAGAGCCTGCGACGCCGCTCAGGCCTTCTGCGCTCTACGTCGGCAGTTACGGACGACCAGTATATAGTTGGCGCCCTAGCAGGCGGACCCTTAGAGTTTCTTCTCTTTGGATCCTCCCCTGCTAGGTCGGTCCCTCCGTGTATTTCCCATAGCTTTTATTCACGCTTTGGATCCTCCCCTGCTAGGCTTTCGTCGGAGTCTCCAGGGTTGCCCTTACAGCAGAAGAAACTCTCTACGGGATTAACCGGTCAAGATTGCCAGGTTTGGTGCTGACTCAGGCTCGGAGTACGAGTCCGTACCCCCCTCGTCACCGCCCCTGCCACTTGACCCCTCCTCCTCTGCTCTTGTCGTCTTTACGCCCGCTATGTCTACCGGAGCTGCTCCGGACGCTGACGCGCGCATGGACGCACTTGAGGCGAAACTAGACAACCTCACCAATCTCCTCACCCACCTTGCTTCCCAGGCTTCCGCTGCCGCACTGCCTCCGGCAGCTCCCGAACCGCCCGGCATCTCCGAATGCCCCCGACGGGATGCGTTATTTGGTGACATTACTGTCGCCTCAAAACTGGTCTTACGACCAAACCCCCCGTTTGCGTTTAACGGAGATCGCAAACGCGGCCGCTCCTTCCTATACGCGGTCAAAACCTATGCTCGGCTTGCCCCGGAGGCCTTCGTAGTTAACGGAGAGCCGAGCGAAGAAAAGGCCGTCCGCTACGCCATGTCCTATATGGCGGAGGGACCTGCTCAGCAATGGGCAGAGCGTCATGGGAGCAAAAACCCCTTCCCCTTCCCTCGGTGGAGCCAGTTCCTCTCCGAGTTTCGCCTTCGGTTCGTCGAGGAGAACGAACAGGACCTCGCGCTCGCTAAGTTGGAAAGCGGGGTTATCACATGGGAACGCGGGATGTCTACGGATATACCGACGACTTGAGGACTTGATGGACCTCGCTGGCTTCAAGACGCGTTGGTTAAGGTAACCAAGTACCGCCACGGACTTGACCCCTTGATCAACAACGGCATCACCTCTTCGAACGACCCCCAGACCTCCGTGACTATCTAGGCTGGCGCACTCGGGCTTTCCGACAATATGAAGCCCTGGTGCGGCGAAGCTCATTAAAGGGAACGGCTACCCCGCGGACCGCCGGGAGCTCCGCGGCGGCGCCTTCCCCATCACTCGTTCGGCAACTCCGTTCCCCATCCGCCCGGTGGCCGCACCTGCGCCACCCGCGGCCCGCGCCCCGTCCCGGTACCTCCGGCTCCCGTCCCTATGGAGTTGGATCGTACTAGGGCTCGGGGCGCCCCTCGTCGAGCCTGCTTCCAGATGCGGCGACCCCAATCACTTGGCTCGGGACTGTCCGCTCCCCGCCGATGTTCGCCATATGGACATCCTCGGCGAGGTGATCCAGCAACTTGGCGATGAGATGCTAGGAGAGCTACTTGCGCGGTTGTCCGACACCGCGGCCTTAGCAGAAGCGCATTCGGAGGCTCCGGCAGAGGATTTTGTCCCCGCGACGAGTGACTGGTGTGCCCTCGTTCGCGTCCATAAATCGTTTCACTTGTTTGTATGATGAATCAACTCCCTTGCCTTACAACGAGCCTGAAACGAAAGACGCACCCCCTGCCCCCTCCGAAGCCCCCGTTCGGATACGCCGACTTGCCTGGGAGAAAAAGCTACCTGGCAGTTATACCATCTCTGCCGCTCCTGGCGTTAACTCGCTGCACCTCCCCCTTGAACTTGAGTCCACTGCGAACGCGCTCAAGCTCTCCCTCTCGGGTCTGGTCGACTGCGGAGCCACTTCGGACTTTATCGACACAGAATACGTCAACCGAAACAACGTGCCAGTCCGAAATCTCTCAGTACCCATACCGGTCTACAATGTCGACGGCACCCCCAATGATGCTGGGTCTATTCGCCAAATCGCGGACCTGGTCCTACGATACAACGGACACTCGAGCGCGTTCAGCTGGCTGTAACCCACCTTGGGAAACAGGACTTGATACTCGGGTACTCCTGGCTCAAAAAGCATAACCCCGAGATCAACTGGGAAACAAAGGAGGTGAAAATGAGCCGCTGCCCCCGAAGCTGCTCCACCTGCCGCGACGAGGAACGGACCGAGCGCTGAGGTTCGCCGCCTCCGACTCCTTAAATCGCGCTTACTTGCCGGCGCCTTCCCCACCGTTTGCGCTATCGATATCGCTGGCCCAGACGATGCCGACGACGAACTCGGAGCTCCTTCGGACCCTCCGGAGCGCTCACCAGACCTTGACGACGACGAGCATCTTGAAGACGGCGACCGCATCTTCTACACCTCCTTTCGCCCAATCGAGGAGATTCGCGCTGGGAGCACCGTGTCCCAACGCCTTGCAGAGGCCTTCGCCCGTAACTTCGGCCCCCCGCCTCGGAGATTCCGGACTGGGCCAAGGAGTTCCAAGACGTCTTTGACAAGGAGTCCTTCGACACGTTACCAGAGCGGAGGGCTTGGGACCACGCTATCGAACTCGTCCCCGACGCGAAGCCCGCTAATTGCAAGGTGTATCCGATCTCCCCCTTGAACAGCGCGAACTTGACGAGTTCATCGAGGAGGGACTTGCCACAGGCCGTATCCGCCCTTCGAAATCTCCGATGGCTTCCCCCGTCTTCTTCGTTAAGAAAAAGGACGGAGGACTTGGTTTGTCCAGGACTACCGCGCCCTCAACGCAATGACGATTAAGAACCGGTACCCCCTCCCGTTGATTAATGACCTTATCAACAGGCTTAAGGGCGCCCGTTACTTCACCAAACTCGGCGTTCGCTGGGGCTTTAATAACGTCCGGATTAAAGAAGGAGACGAGTGGAAGGCGGCCTTTCGGACCAACCGAGGGTTGTTCGAACCTTTGGTGATGTATTTTTGGCCTGACGAACTCCCCGCGACTTTCCAAACGATGATGAATGACATTTTCCAGGATCTCATTCTCTCAGGAGACGTCATGATCTACCTCGGCGATATCCTTATCGCGCATTCGGACCTCCGTAAGCACCGCGAGATCGTCCGAGAAGTCCTTCGGCGACTCCGAATGCACAAGCTGTACCTTCGCAAGGAGAAGTGCGACTTGAGAAATCGTCAATCGAGTACCTGGGGGTTATCATCTCTCACAACCACGTCGA